TACTTATCTTGATCAATATGAAAATAGAAAAGCTAGACCCTGTTGAGAGAATAGTTTTAAACATCGATGAATATAATAATCCAGAGAGATTTAATGGCCTTAATAGTACACCTCAATGGCCTTTCAATTTATTAGTCAGTGGACGAACAAGATCAGGAAAAACTAATGAAGTTATCAACCTTTTACTTGAGAACAAGATGTATCGATTGTTTAATGAAGAAAAAGGTGGAACGAGATATATTAAGAATGACGATTTTGTTTTGATCAGACATCATATTATTGAGCCGAAATACAAATATCTGAAACATTGTTACAAAATAATAGCAAATAGTCCAAAACCGTATTGTGAAGATATTACGTTCCGAGCAATAAAGCCTGATAAAATGCCAAAAATTAGCAATTTCTCTCCTAAAAGAGGAACAGTAGTTGTATTCGAAGATTTATGTACTGAGCCTAAAAAAATACAAGATAAAATTGCTCCGTATTTTAGTGAAGGGCGACATGCTAATATCAGTTCAATATATATAACACAAAGCTTTTTTAACTGTCCTAAACTAATAAGAAAAAATCTCGATTATATTGTTCTCTTTAATGGCAGTGGAATATATGATGAACTAGTTAACATTGCCCGACGATATACAAAAAAATGGCGTGATGTTGTTGATATACTTGATAAAAATTTACAAGGTCGAGAATTTATTGTTATTGATTTAACTAGAGCAAAAGAGGATCCTTTATACATAAGGAAAGGTTGGGACCAAGTCCTGAAATTAGATGAATAGAGTGTAAATTATTAATACATGTCATGCACTTTTCACAAAAAATCAAATAAATAAAATGTTAAATACATCAGGTCAGATACCAACTTGAAATATGTGTCTTTAGACACTAGCTCTGCTATTCCACGAATATTCCCTATATTGTTTATAATAGTGAAGTCACATGTGCGTTACAATTTATAATGCCAATCTTTTCAGATGCAAAGCATCCTACTCCACAGACCCAATTCTATTTTGATTACAATTACCGACTTCGTACGTTCCATCAATATTTCTCTTTGGAGTTTTTTCTGTTCTGTAAAACTTCAGAAAAAATAAATAAGATATTAGGAATATAAATAATTAATATAAATTAATAA